CCACGAGCATCTTATCCATCCTCCTCATCTGTTACTGCCTTCCTCACCTTCCTGGGGCTGTGTGGAGCCTGTGAGGTACCGAGGAGTCAGGCATACTCGCTTGCACTCTCTCTCTCTCTCTCTCTCTACATACACACACACACACACACACACACACACACACACACAGAGCTCTGACAGCTCTTCTCTAGAAAATAAAAATATGCTTTGCCAGAAGTCAGAACTCAAGTGCAAATCCGTAACGTGCTGTTCACAGTGTACAACCTGTCCGAAGAGGATTCGCCTGCGTTATCGCCTCTGATCTACATTCTTGACCCCAGGCCTTCAAGCATAGGGAACACACTGCCCTCCTGCGCGGACCTTCTAGGGTGAACTAAGTGATGTGCTCAGGGAGTTCCTCGGAGAGCTTTCATCACTCATTGTGCCTTTGTAGCCTCAGGGGAGATTCGTGCTCACATGGCTCACACCACCGTTGGGTGTTCATTTGTCTTTATGTGAAGATCAGAGAAGGAGCAAGATCTGGCCAAGTTCATAGTGCTTTTTAGCTTTTAGTTTCCCAATGACAGCTGGCCTATCTTCTTACCCGTAAGTCCTCAAAAAGAGCAAATAACTTTGCTCTTCTGGTTCTTCTAACCCTGATGGAAGCTTCTGGTTATTGCTGCTCTGAACATTGCTACAGTCACCAGTTAAAAAAGCTCTGGGCAGAGACAGAGCCCAGGGACGCTGCACGCTCATCCAGAGGCCTCAGGTTCGCCCTGGGTCTCCCACTCAAACACATTCCCGTAGCACCCACGTGGGGCACCACCGCTCATCTTAGCCAAACTCAGGTTAGCCAGGCTTCGTCCAGCTCAACTCCCTGCCCTCCATCACTCCCCACACACCAGCATTAACATAACTTTCTTGGGCAACAAGGAAGCCCTCAGAACACATGTCTAGATAGGTCCCACGAGCCAAGAATATGTTTAAAAATCACCATAGCATCATCCCAGGACATGGACATTTTCTTCTCTAGCCTTGACTCCTCTGACTCTCAGAGAGCAGGGAGACGTTTTTGTGAAAGGAGAGACACCATGCTGCCTGTCTGTCTTGATGAGCCTTTGTGAGTCCCAAGCAAATTACAAATATTCCTGAGGTTGAATAGGGAGCAGGGCGGGGGCTCAGGGCTCCTGCATTACCTGCGCTGATCAGCAGCACCCAAGCAAGAGCTGTGAAGGCTGTGGACACCCTCATCCTGGGCAGGGCCTGGCTCCAGCTGCTGGGAGAGCTCAGACCTGCTGGTGTGGCTATAAGGAGACTCTCCTGAAATCTGATCTCCTCCCTCCCTCCCTGGAGCCAGGTTGGCCAAGTGGCAGGAATGAGGGCCTGCCTGGCCCTTCCGTTTTCTACAAGTCTATGTGAAATGTGGCTGTGTACCAACTCACATTTACCATCCGCAGCCAGGCTCCAGGTCCTCTGTCACTGAGATTGGAAATACAGGCCAGTGGTTCCCTTTCCTTTTTACCTCTTCTCCAGCATTCTTAGAGAAAAGAGTCCTCCTCAGTGGGAACGACATGATCCATCCCCTGTGTAGGGATCTCTCCTGCCTTTGGTTAACTTATACCTTCCCTTCTACTTGTTTCAGAAGTCTCACAACACCTGGGAGGTGAGGCAGGCCAGGGACAGGCAAGCAACGGAGATCATGACATCAAGATGCTTGTCCACGGTCACCACACATCAGTGGTAGAACCCCGTTCCTACTCTCCTGACTGCAGTCCCTCCACAAGCCCTCTGAAGGCCACTCAAGGGACAATGCAACAGAAATAAGCTCTGTGGCTGCTCAAGGTCTACAAGCAGACAATGGAACAGCACAAGGGGCAGGTGCAGAGGGAATGGGATTGCCCACATGCACGGATATGTGTCTGTATTATAATGAGCCACATGGCTCATTGTACATGGGCTCATTCCCAGGATGGTGTCACAGTCCAAGGCAAACCGAAGTACTGTGCTTGTGATACAGTCTCAGAGTTCCTCAAAAGCCTATTACGCAGAGCTTCCTTCTGGCCCAGTCCTGCCAGAAGCCATTTGCCTACGAGAATTAGAACATATGTGCACACACAGACTGGTAAATGAATGTTCACAGCAACTTCCTTAAAATGAACCCACAGTGGAAACAGCCTAAATGTCCATCCAATGATCAATGAGCAAATCAAGTATAGTACTTCCATGTAACAGAATGTTATTCAGTCATGGGAAGAAATATTTAAAAATGGGGGTGAACCTTGGAGTCTCATGCTAAGTGAAAGGAAAGACTCTTTACTGTAGGATTTCATTTATGTCAGTTGTCAGAAGAGATAAATTCATAGAGACAGAATTCAGTTTGGGTGTAACAAAATTTGTGCCAAAGGTTGAAGGCAAATAAGTAGTGAGTTTTGATGGATATATTATTTGTTTTGGAAATGATGAAAATGTTCTAAATTGAGTGTGATGATGGCTGTACAACTCTGCTGATATTCTAAAAATCTGTAAGTATACATTTTGAATGTGTAAATTGAAATGGTAGAGTAGTACTGTAATGTCTGCTGCACAAGAGGTGTGTAGGTAAGAAACTGGCCCTGAGCTAAAGTGGGACCCTCTCTGACAAAGAATAACTAAAATAAAAAGTTCTTGGGTACATGTTTTTAGAGCACTGCCTAATGAGCATGAGGGCCTAAGTTCAAATCCCAATACCATATGTTTTTTATATAATGGCATTTGAGCTATATTTCAGCAAGGCTTGTATGTAAACTTAAAAACAATTCAATTATTATTATTATTTTTGCCAGACTTGGGGCTTGAACTCTGGGCCTGGGCATTATCCCTGAGCTCTTCAGCTCAAGGTGAATATTCTACTACTTGAGCTGCAGTACCATTTCTTGTTTTCTGGTGGTTATTTGGAGATAAGAGTCTTATGGACTTTCCTGCCCAGACTGGCTTGAACTGCAGTCCTCAGATGTCAGCCTCCTGAGTAGCTAGGATTACAGGGGTGAGCCACCAGCTCCCAGCAACACAATTCAATTATTAAAATAATAAAGGTGAAGATAAAACATAGTCAAAAACAACTCGATCACTTCCTCTAGGGCGCCATTTTATAGGGCAGTGTTCCCAACCCTAGTAGAATTTCCTATCCCCGCTCCCAGTGGCATTTGACAATATGGAGACATTTGTTCCTTGTCATAACTTGGGGTTATAGGCAGAGTCCAGAGATGCTGTTTAATAAAACACTCTCTGGTGCACAGGAAGTCATCCCAGTCAAGAATCCCAGTAGATCCAAGGCTGAAAACTTTCAAAAACATAACGAGGTTGGTGAGTCAGGGGTAGATGTTGTACGTTTTCCTGCACGTCAACCTCCAGGTCTCTACTGAAGACTATTACCAATATGATTATCAAGAGAACCTGACGATCCATCTTCCTGAACTCTTACCAATTATGCATATTACAAATGAATTTTTAATAATTTGATCAAATATGCATGAAAAACATTAATTTTTGAAGGTACTCTTCTTCAGTTTCCAGTGGGGTTGGCACCTTTTTGATGTCCCTCGTGACACCCCAGCCTTTTGTGAAATGCCAGTCCCGTCTTCTGACCCATTTCCAGTGGCCACACTCTTCTCTTCTGGATTGTAGAAGCCTCCTTTGTCCTTTCCAACTCATAGCTTTCTTTGCAAAGGGCCCTAATGGGTTCATGGTGTACAGGAGCTTGGCGCTTTATCAGAACAGGGTGACCCTGCTGCGCTGTGTGGCCACTGAAGCTGTCCTAGTTGAAGGATGGAGCTGAAGTAAGGTTGGAAAGTTTTCTCACTGCTCAGCATTCAATGCTGCTTCAGCTTTACTAGTTAACCCTCTGGGCCTCACTAATACGATGTGCCAAATTTCCCTCACTCCTCCTCTACCTCTGAATCCAGAAAAATCTCACCAAACTAAACCTCTCACCTTTCCCCTGCCCCTACGTTGGAAAGAGGAAAAATGCTGATGGTGGGAAGTTCTGACCAGAGCTGGCAGCTGTGACCGAGTCTCATGTGGATTCCTTGTCTCTTGGTCCTCTGGTCCTCCTGGAGGCCCTCCAGAATCTTCTAAGCTCCAGTCACACATCTGAGGTTAGGCCTAGTAGGCTCCTTGTAGGGTCCTGAGCTGGACCAGCAGGGCTGACATTGGCATTGCTAGCACAGAAAACAAAAGCTCTCACTTCTACAGGGCTGAACTCGGAGGGGCCTGAGGGCCTCTACTTCCTATTTTCTCCAAATTCACTGTATTCCTGGACCCCGCCCCATTCTTTTCCCTCTCCCATCTCCTTGGGTCACTTATCAATCCACTTCTCTCTAGAGATTTCCTGCATGACCCTTGGTGTCCTGTCCTGAAGCTGTGAGCAAGAAGGAAGCCGTGGACTGAGAGAATTCTTTAATTTTAACTCACAAACACTGAGAAGGATGATGGAGTTAGCATGCTTGTCTTTCTCTAGCCTGGGATGAATTGAACCATGCCAAGGATACTAGGAAGACATGTTGTCCATTCCCTGGAAGGTTCTAGAAGCCACCAAGAAGAACCCTCCCCCACACACTATCCTTTATCATCTCACCCTTGCTGTGTGCTTAATTGGAGGGAACCCAGTTTGTAGGTAAGCCTCTGGAAACAAAGACCAAAGATTCTTTATTTAGTTTTCCCTATCAGAAAGTCTGATATTTATACTACAGATCAAGACACTAAGGTATAGAAAATCAGAATGATTATTGAACCTAGGAAAAGCTCTGCCACTTCTACTGTTGTGTTCACAGCTGCACCTAGGGTTGCAGATACCATGATGCTTCGGATCTGGGGAAACCGAGGCCTCTGCCTTTCTTCACGGTCCCCTCAACCCACCTCACTGCACATTTGTGCCAAGCTGGGATACAGCAGGGTACTGAGCTCTGCCCCTCATGTCTTCCATCTTCTCTGGGAGCATGGGCACAGGGAGCCAGCGTCAGAGTGCATTCTCCTGGCTTTACATCTTGGTGCCAGTGTCAGAGTGTGTTCTCCTGGCTTTACATCTTGGTACTTGGAGGACAGTTGCTTGTGGTCTGTGTCGTCCTTCCCAGAGTGAAGGCTGCCACGGCTAGGACCACAGCCAGGAACACCCCGGCCGCGATGGCAGCGCTGTGGTTGCTCCCCTGCCAGCTGACCGGCTCCTCTGTGTCTGCCACCGCCAGGTGTGAGGAGGAGAGTGAAACAATAGAGTTGGAACCTGAAGAAAAGGGGAGAATGAACTGTTGAGGAGAAAGAGATAAAGAAATGGGGGAGAGGACTGGAGGCGTGTCTCAAGTGGTAGCCAGGAGGAAAAGAAAGCTAAGTGCAAGTGCAAGGCACTGAGGAAAGAAAGGAAAGAAAGAAGCAGAGGAGTGACGACAGAGAAACTGGGAAACTGAGATTCTGTTTCGGATTTTCTTCCTAGCCAGGGGAACCAAGAAAGGGTTTGTGAGAAGGGACTCACAGCTGAACTTTGGCAGAAAAATTCTGGCCAGTAGAGTTGGGGAAGAGAAAGTTAGAGCACTTAGACCCATTGGAAATGAGCTACAAGAGTCTCAGGCAGAGCTGGGATCTCACCTACAGTCCTAGCTACTTGAGAGGCAGAGATTGGAGCTCGCTCCAAGGCCAACCAGGACAAGAAGTCTGAGAGATTCCATCTCAACCAATATAAAGTGGAGTATTGTCACATACCAATATAAAGTGGAGTATTGTCACACGCACCTGTCAACCCAGCCACAAGGGAAGCACCCAGAGGAGGATTGTGGTCCAGACTCTCCCAGACAGAAAGGTCCTAAACTCTCCCTATTTAAAAATTATTGAAAGAAGAAAGGGCTAGGGACACAGTTCAAGTGGTAAAACCTGAGTTGCTTATTCTGATCTTAACCCAAAGGAATCTAAGCTCCTCAAGGGCAGGGATGTCAGTCTATACCTGCTTACTTTTTGCTTCCTGGCACATTATAGTTCCTTGCTATGTATGCACTGAGGAAAGAGTGGAATCAGCTGGCCACAAGGACCAGCCAGACACAGGGTTTGTGAATACTGATGTGCTCCCATCACCATGGCAACCATGGGTGAACCTGTACTCCGATCACCATTCCTGAACTGGCCCCCATTTAGACCAGAGATTCTCAGCATGCTACTGAGAATCTTCTCCTCCCCATACCAACATCCAAATGGCACCATAGAAATCAGCCCCTTGCTCTAGATGAGGGAAATGAAACGGCCTCAGAATGTATCCATACTGCCTGAGTCCATCCCCACAGCCCTCCCAGATCCCAAGGATTGACATTATAGTTTGCCATCCACGTTACTGTGAGGAATAATACCATAATGATGCTAACAGAGATGACATAGACAACAGTAACAAAAACTACTGCTCACCAAACACCAGGCAAGGGCCAAGGCAATTGAATTCACATTACTTTATTTGATCCTCTGAACAGCCCAAAGAAATACGCATTCACATTTGAAATCTATAGATGAGAAGTGTGGGTCTTGGGAGTTGTGCACTCACAGGATAAAGGTGTAATGTCCATAGCCTTCCAGATCAGAACTCTCACTCATGCCCCAAAGACATGGGGCCTTGGGGGAAAGCAGAAACTAGGCCTGACTCGACAAGTCAATGTCTGACTCATATCAGGTACTTAACTGAGGTTGGAACATGAGACCCACAGAAACATTTCCCAAGTCCTCTAGAGTCATGGGCCTGGACCTTAGTGGGCATGGGGGTCAGAAGGTGACCGCTTACTCAGGCTCTTCTTCTCATGGGGGCCCTGCAATTGGACGGGTCCCAGGACGACGTCCACCTTTTCTTGGTAGGAGCTCACATCCCTCTTGGATCTCACTATGCAGCCTCGGTAGCAGCGGGAGGAGTAGTCGTATGCTCTGCACACCACCAGTTTACACTGCAGGTACACTGAGGGGAAACGGTTCAGGAAGTGGAAGGAATTGAACTTGAAGCGGGCGATATGGGGTGATGACGAGGAGTAGGTTTGGTAGGTTACATCCCGTACACACCTGGAAGGAAAGAAAAGAAACCCATTAGCACTCAATCAGAGCACTGGATGTTCCATGACTCAGGCCTTGAATGCCACAGCCCATCCTGGCTGCCCACATCTCCTGGACCACCTCATCTTCCTTCCACAACAATGTGTGACCCCCACACTTCCTGTGTGGCGAGCTGATGTATCCTGGCCACTCTAGCACATCGTTAGCATCTTTCCACAGCACATTTCCTGCAGGTTCACAGATGGACAGCTGGCCCATAGATCACGATGGGTTGGGGCCTAATCCTGCTGTGACCAGGGGTCTATTGCCTAGGTAAGCTAGAAGATCTCAGACAGTCACTCCAATTAGGAACACACCAATGGGCCAAAGACAAGACAGCCCGTGAACAGATCTTCCTTTTCCTGGTTGTAGGTGGGAGAGAAGGAGAGAGGGCCAGGAAGATAAAAACAAAGGGGAAGGGGGGGAGGGGAAGGGAAAAGAAGGGAATAAAAATACAAGATGTGGACCCCAAGCAGATAAAATGAAGAGAATGTGTGGGTAGGCCTGGGAAGGGAGCATCTGAAGCCCAATTCCATCTCAGGGGCCTCCAGTGGATGTGGTTGAGGGCCGGACACAGCCAGTGATGCCCATAGGTTCCAGGTCCAGTTGGCCCACCGCCCAATACAGCTCCCCCTTCTCCCAGCAAAGTGTGCCATCACCAAGAATCCTTCAGCAGAGAGCTAAATCATTCGCTCATTTCCACTCATTTCAGTCACCTCACATCCATTAAATATCACCTTGTTACTGTGTGGAGAGGGGGTGTCTGGGTAGGCTTTTTCCCTCTCTTTGCATCTGAGGGGATGTCTGCACAGTGAACCCAGTGTATTAAATGGAGACCAGATGAGCCTCAACAACCACTTACTAACCTGGAAAATAGTCCACCTGTGCCTATGAAGAGATGCTGCCCATTAGCATTTTGGAGAAGCATGATACTGACTCCCCAACTGTAATTCCTCCCAGCATCCTTGCCCTGGCGTTATAATTTCTCTTAGGGGGCAGTGGCTACAAAGGTGTCAAGGACCATCCTGCAAACCAAACAGTGCTGTGCCACCCAGCAGCGGAGACTCAGCACCCAGGACCTCGGGCCTGTGAGAGTCAAACATGACCTCACCACATACCTTGTCCAAGGAAGCTGGAGCAGGGGAGAGCAGTTCCTCTAGGCTGGACACCACTAGCCTGATCTCTGCACCTCCTGAGGCAGACAGGAGAACTTCCATTCTCAGCCACTGCGGGAGTACAGGGGCCTCCTGCTGCCTTCGATGCCACAGTCCTATGGACCACTCACTGGACACCCTCTGTGCTCAGAGATCATCTTCTTCTTTTCATTTAGTCCTCCCACAAGACTTAAAAATGTGGGTGTCACTATCCACAGTTGACGAGTGAGGACACTGTCCCAGAGGATACTGCTCCCTACACATTGGTCTTTTTAAGGCTAAGGCTAGCGTTTGGCCCCCTGGGGTCTAATTCCAGTTTACAGCCAACCCCTGTGAATGACCACTCCCCACACATTAACTGGAGGTGATCCATGATACAGTAGGAAAGTGCCTCAAAAGATAAACACCACAGGTTGTCACTGAAGGCAGAGAGGCATCTGACAATCTTGAACTTCTAGGAACCTCAGTAAGCCAAACCTCTGTATTTCTGAAACCTTTGGGAGCTAATTTGTGCGTGTATTATCAGACAACAGTCTAATTCTGTCCCCTGAAGACCGTCCTTACCCACTCCGGATGATATCGTAGGTCAAAGATGTGAAGTCGTTGGGATAGGGTGAAGCCACACAGGTGTCCACAAATAAGGCCAGGGAGGTGTCCGAGTGGATAATTTCAGCCTGAAGGTACAAATTCTGGTCCAGGTCAACAACGTATGGGCTGCTGGTCACAGGACGTGAGAAGGAGGAGGATGTATAGAAGGAAATGTTGACGTTATAGCCGCCATACTGGACTTCCTTGATCTCGAGCGTGTCATTAGTTATGTACATGGTATTCACCCAGGTGTTCTGCAGCATTTTGCAGCTAATGTGAATGTTGAGGTCCTTCCTCCTTTTGATGATGCCATTTGTCACAGCTGCTCTGAGGAGGTTGGAATAGCTGATGGTGTCATTGTCAACCTTGGAGAAGCAGGAGGGAGAGGTGGGTCAGACAAACGTTACCTGCTAAGGGAATTTCACTGCCCATTTGGGTTGGAATGAGAGAGGAGTATCTCAGCAAGACTCAGATGAACCCATCACCACCCTGGGGCAGCACCTGCCATCTCCTAGGGCTGCTATTACCTGAGCTGAATGTCAGCATAACAGACAGACCCTGCCCCTCTCCACACACCCATACTCCTTGAACACTAGCCACTTCCTCCACCACATGAGGGGCCACTACAATGCAGCCAGTTGTGGCTCTTCCTGGTGGCAAGCTGGGAGCGTCCAGATGGTCCTTAGGCCGCCATGTCACTAGCTGAGCTTGGATTCCATGGCTCGGGGCTCAGAACAGAATGTTCTGTTTTGTTCTCACTATTGCTAGGGATCTGAGGAGTTGATCACACACTTGTTCTGGTAAGAGCAGCGTTGCTTGTTTTTTGTTTGGGTTGACTAAAGGTTACGGATGCGTGGTGACTGCCACTGAGTCAGAGAGATCCAAGCCTTGACTGAAGTCGGTCTTCACCTCTAGGACGTGCGGAGAGGTGGAATTGTCTTCTCTTGTCTGTCCTCTCCTTTCCTTTTCCCCGGTTTGACTGGAGTTCTGGGCAAGGTCACCTTGGCTGGCAGAGGGTGCCAGAGGCAGCGTTCGATACCCAGGTGTGAGGAAGAGCCGCAGACTTGTAGGAGGCACCTTACACTTTTCCACTTTCAATTCTCATCTTTAAATGTTATAATTATGTACTAAACTATGAGTTTTGTCATGTTATTACTCTTTCAACAACAAGCTCAAGTGATTTCAAGGCCAGTGCCCCCAAAGAACTGTATCCGCAGGACACATTACTTACATGGCATGATTTGAGGGTACTTTCCCCTGCAGTTAAGTCTACTTGGCCCTCTGGGAAGGAGCCCCGAGGTGTTCAGGTATAGGAAGCTAGGTGACCCCAAAGCCATTGCCGGCCGTCAGAGACAGACATTCATAGCAAGGGAGCCCATCTGGTGGGTTCAATGAGTGTTCCTTCCTTTCTTAGTGTTGACTATGTCAAAGGAGAGGAAATGAGGTTGCCACATAATGACCAGCATTGCCCTAGCTCCTGGCATGTGGCAAATGTTCTATGGTACAGTAGCCACCTGAGCCTGGGAAACCCACCTACAACACTCACAGATGAGCATCTCATGCTGTGTCTGTCCACCGTCCTAAGGTAAGAAAAAGTACTGGCCCTTGAACTGTCCCTAACATAAAAATCTCACAATCATCATTTAGGAAACAGGTAAAAATTCAGAATTTAGGATGACCGATTTAAAACAAATGCATATAAAATGTAAATCACTTGGGGTAAATGAAGTTTGACAACTAATCGCCAACAGAGGATTATGCAACACATTTCCATTGCTCAAACAGCTCCTGTCCTTGGAAGTTATCTCCTCCAACAGGGCAGCCATTAACCACTGACTGGCTATATTTATCATTATGCATCTATTCTCTATGAATAACTATTATACAGGTAGAATCTCAAACACGCCCTCTTCTACATCTGGCTCCTTGCACTCACTATAATGCTTCAGATTCCCCAACTCTGGCACCAGTTTTGTCCTTTTAGGGCTAAGTGGCAGCTCCCCCACCCCTCTCAGTTCAATTTCTCCATTTTAAAAGTGGAACAGCAATAAGAGAATCCCTGATAAGAATTCAGGGACTATGACATGGATTAGTCACAGTATCTGCTACATACAAGTTGTCTGAGGGGTATTCTGGGGTATAGGACAGTTGATACTAAAATCTGTGAAGTCTCAGTATACCAGGATGGTTGGTCACTCTAGATGGTGGCAAATTGGCAAATAGCAGCTGTCAAGATGAGTTAATTATGAAGCAGATGAAGGCGCGCACCTCCCCCAAGGCCTAGCAATGTGTTCTCACAGCCACTTAATTTTCTTTTGGAAAATAAGTTATATTTGGATTACTTGGCTTACTGAGGTCCTTACCGCTCTCACCTACCCTCTAAACCCAAACTGCATAAGCTTCAAATCCTACAGAACCTGCTGCTGTCCCTGGAAATGGCTCTTATTTGAGCACATGAGTGGCAACCTGTCAGATGCCTTCTCTTCTGGTGGAGAAATCTCCTCCTCATCTTCCTTCCTCTTCCTCCCTCCTATTTGGGAATAGCTATAGCTTTCTTATGGTGTGAAAGAGTTCTGCCTTCCTTTACTTGCTTTTATTCTGATGGTACCACAGTCATAGCTACAGAATCTCCAGTATTTGAGAAGCATGGCTGCTATCAAGGCAGGGAGCCAGGCACTGGTGGCTCATGCTTGGAATCCTAGCTACTCAGGAGGCTGAGAAATGAAGATTGTGGTTCAAAGCCAGCCTGGGCAGAAAAGTCCATGAGACTCTTATCTCTAATTAACCACTAGAAAACTGGAAGTGGCGCTGTGCCTCAAGTGGTAGAGTGTTCACCTTGAGCTGAGAAGCTGAGGGACAGCGCCCAGGCCCAGAGTTCAAGCCCCATAACTGACCAAAAAGAAAGAAAGGAAGGAAAGAAGGAAGGAAGGAAGGAAGGAAAGAAAGAAAGAAAGAAAGAAAGAAAGAGAAAGAAAGAAAGAAAGAACGAAAGAAAGAAAGAAAGAAAGAAAGAAAGAAAGAAAGAAAGAAAGAAAGAAAGAAAGAAAGAAAGAAAGAGAAAGAAAGAAAGAAAGAAAGAAAGAAAGAAAGAAAGAAAGAAAGAAAGAAAGAAAGAAAGAAAGAAAGAAAGAAAGAAAGAAAGAGAAAGAAAGAAAGAAAGAAAGAAAGAAAGAAAGAAAGAAAGAAAGAAAGAAAAAAGAAGGCAGGGAAACAGAGCAGGTACTCCAGACTTACCTGCTTGAAGGTGCCACAGTTTCTGTAGGGAATTGTGAATATCACTTGGGTTGGTGTTATCTGGGGATGACACAAGTAGCTCCCATTCCACCAGGGAATAACAATATCTCTGGCCGAGTAGCCCAGAGACTGGAGGTAGCTCCTGCTCACACTGGCTAGCATGTGATCCGGCAAACAAGACAGACCTGATAGATAAGAGTAATGAAATACACTGTCAGCAGCCCAAAGTCCCACAAGACCTACCAGACTCTTCCCATATAAGAGTCATAGGTCAAGATGGCTGAGAGAGTGATCGACCCATGACATGCATGCTTGCAACTTACATAACTGAAACCCACCACGTTCCCTATAGCTCCATTCCCTATAGCTCCAATCAGCCCCACTGTCGCAAAAGCCCAAGGAAGACACATGGACTTAGGAGTTCTCGGATGAACAATTGGAGTCAAATGTTTTGCCAAGTTGTAGCATTTATCCATAAAGTAAACTAACTCTATGATGAAATTATAGACTGTGTCATTTAGCCATAGAGAAAGTCAATGCTTCAAATCCTGACTACATAAGAACTTGGCCAATGTACACATTAGTCCATAGAGCATCTCTACTGGAAGTGGCTGTGACCAGTTCCATTTCTCTTCAGAGAGAAACCAAATGCATTAAGCTTCAGAATGGCTAGTGTCCCATCGTCTGGGAAGGTTCAAGCCAGATAAACATCCAGGCCTTTGGCTCCTACTTCTCACTGTGTGTTGAGAGCATCATCTTACATACTCTACCTATTCTCTACTGAACTCAAAAGCCAACACCCACCCCCCTCATCAGTCAGTGCTGGCTCTTGACCTTGTTTGGGGCATCTGGAGTCCCCAGACTCACAAGCAATGACCTCTTCTCAAAAAGAAACCCATCATTGGATCCTTAATGAGGATGCTTTATCTCACAGCTACAAACCAGGTGGGCAGAAGGAGGCTCCCTGTGATATTCCCACTGCTAACCAAGCATTTTCACAAGGGAACTTACTGGTGCTGTCATTGGATCTGACGGAACGGTATTCAGCCCGGAACCCTCTCCGTGTGATGCTGCCGTCCGTGACGAATCGAACTGACATGAAGTTTGATGAGGAGGTGAGCGACCTCACAGCCCCATCACAAACCCGAGCAATGATTGGGGAACTGTGTGAGGGGCCATTGAAAACCTCAATGTAGTCATAGTTGCAGCCTCCTTCCAGCCTGAAGAGACAGAACACACCGGTTAGCGCCGCTGTGTACAGAATCTATTGGACCTCAGGGAGGGGGTCAGAATTAGTGCCCAGAACCCTGATGGCGTCCATCACTGAACAAAGTTGATGACTGACTTCCTAGGTCAAGGGGCCTTATTCTCCCATCAGCCACCATACTTGAGTCTTGGTCCTGATTTTGAGGTCACACATCTAAAATCTATAATCCCTCTCTTTAACGGCTTTTTACAGAAAAATTAAAGAGCTCATATCATGACTATTTTTCCCATCCAAGAATCATGTTTTTCATAGGACAAAATAAATATCCATGAGTGTGTATCGACTGGTAGAAATGAATAATTGAATAAATACACATTATACAAGTAATGTCTCTGAAACTCAGTTTTCTTATTTACAAGGGTGAAACAGCCCTGTCTGTGCAGATTGGAGAGATGTGTGAGCCTCAGATGAGATAAGCTATGGAAAAGTGCTTTAAAAATGTCATGGTTGGCGGGACGATGAGTTAGTAGGGTGCCAGTTAAAGAACTAGCCTTTGTGTGTATGGGGGGGGGCGTATCTCAAGAACATTAAGTTCAGCCTTTGTATGTAGTAACAAGCGACAATACAAATAATCTCTGGCAAAGCCTAAATGACTTTCTTAAGGCAGAGAGTTCCTTGAGCGCTACAAATGCAATACAGAGAAACTATTTTGTTCCGTGATGATTGTTGGAGAAGAAGGCATGGAACCCCCTTGTCTCTTGGAAAATATCAGTACCTCTTCAGTCACCTGACTACCCCCTCCTTGGATAAACCACATACATGCACTTCTGGGGAGGCCCTGTGCTGTGAGGCACTGATTTCCACTTGTAAGTGGATGAGGAATGGCTACTCCACAATCTGCAGCGATGACGTCCCCACCTCAGCCCCAGAACTCACGGGAAGAAAAAGGAGGGCGCGGGTAGCAAGAGATGCACAACACGTGCAGTTCTTCCCAGAATTATTTGCATTAGAAACCTTAAGAACGTCTCCACTCCTAACCACAATCCCTCCCTTTCATGTATTTTCTCATTCCCTGGTGACCTTCCCAATAATCAGTGAGAAGATTTTACTTTCTTCTTTCAGGCTCAAGAAAGTTGACTGGTTTCCCATGGTCACGCATTAAATGAATGACAGCTCTAGAGCTTTAGACCACTCCTGCCATCACGCCTGACCACTCCCTGCCAGTGGGCTGCTGCTCGACTAGGTCAAAAACTGAACCTCTAAGATAAAATGGCACCTAGATCCACATCTTCCCTGAATCTCTAAGCCTCATACACACTCTTTCCAAATATTTCCCATCAGATTCCCAAGGCATTCCGCCTTCCACACTCACTGAACATCTCTGAAGGTAATAGTCACGAGGTAGTTGCTTGGGACCTTGATATCCCACACACATCTGGCGTTGTTTGGGTAATTGTCAGGGTAGAACGGGCTGGAAAAGTACCCTGATGTCTGAGACAAGAAGCCTCCGCAGGAATAATTTACTGTGAGAATAAAATGGAAATGCTGATGATCCCTAGGCACATTATACAGTCAGAGGGTGGGGTGGGTCACAGTTTCTAACAACAAGTGATCTAGATCCAGATCATCACTGAGGCCCACGGGACGCCCACCCTCCCAGGGGACGGGCTATGCTGAGGTAAGCTACCATCAGGCCCTTCTTCCCCAGCCAGTGTCCCTGTCACTAAGGGAAAGAGAAGTGTACGTGGGATCAGGGGAGGTGAGGAGACATCTCTGCCATAGATTTTTCAGGGACTCAGAACTTACAGTTAGGGTAGTCGGTGGAAGGAACAGATGCTGTTGATAAAGAAAAAGAACCACAATTAATTGTCTGGCATCCACAATTAATCCTGGGCCTACAGCAAGAGGTTGAACCCAGGCCTTGCCGTTGGGGACTTCACAGCTTACAAAAAGGACAAAATGTCATGAGAATGAGGCTGAGGTGGAGGAAAGTCAAGGGAAGGATAGGATCCAGAGACAGGGCTCCTGACCCAGACCGAATGGAGGAGAGAAAGCAGGTAATGGGGCTGGAGGGGAGCTGATAAAGAGGGAGGGAGGGCTTCTCGGGACAGAGGGACCCACAGATGACATGTATGGGCGTCCATGTGGGTCGTAAGGAGGCAGAAGACTCAGGGAAGAACTTGTGGGAAGCCTTGAAGCCTTGGCGCTCTTGAAAGTGCTGAGGATGCGAGTTTCTTCTTCCCCAGTGCTGTGAGTCCATAATCAAACACTTCTTCCCCTAATACCCTGCGTGCCCACCCAACCAATGAAAAGAGCAGGGGCTGTGCACGCAAAAGCCATCAAGAATGAGGCCAAAGCCCAGGGGAGGAGATACGGAGGAGCACTGTACTACAACAGCATGCTCTCAGAGGACTCCTCTGCCTCCTCTCTGGAGCACCTGTCCTAACAGGAGGGCTCCATACTTTCCTGCAAAGCTTTCCATTCACTTTGAAATAAACAATCTCTGTTGAACTTTTTCTTAAAAAACAAAACAAAACAGTGCAGAGGCTGAGAGAGACAGTCACATTGCACAAAGGTGCTCCTGGACCTCTGCTCGCTGAATCCAGAACTAAGCATGCGGATGAGAGCAAAGAGCAGATAGGAGAATGTGGGTGACAGCAGAGGGAAGCGGGATCAGCCTGGCAGCAGGCCAGGAAGGCCGAGGCTCACTCTGCCTCCCGCTCTGCCATAAGGCCAGGCTGCTTGGCCTGCCTGCCCAGGACAGGCTCTGGTGCTGTGGGCGTGGGACAGGAAGACCTCATAGGAGAAGCCCTCTCCTAGGGACTGATGGGAGATCCAAACCCTGGTCAGCCACGCCACTGAAGGATTAAGAGGGACAAACCCTTCTGTGGCTGAGCAAAAGAGCTCAGCCCTGCTGGGGCTGCTCATAGCAGGGGAGAGGGGGAATGCCAGGCCAGAGGGGTGTGACAGGCAAGCTACTCAGCAAGTGGATCACAGAAGTCCCACAGTAGCAAAAAGCCTAGGCATGAGGCATGAGATAAAAACCACAGGCACTTACGAATTGTCGTTACAGGATGAAGTCCTAAAATGAGAAAGAAGAAAAACATAGGTCAGCACATGAGAGACAGACAGGAGCTTCCAGAAGGAAGCAAGTGACATGAGGGGACTTGTCATCTGAGCCCCACTCTGAGTTATTCTGTTCCAGGGAAAGTCCGCAGCCCCTGACCACCCCATTATTTTGAGGGGTTCATCAGTATCCCAGGAAAGGTTACAGCCACCATGTTGTCTTGGACATAAAGTCCTTCCAGTGTCTGTGGGATGCAGCTGGCTCTCTTAACACCTGACACACAAGTCCACTTCTGCCTTTTTGCCCCTAACTGAAGATAAGAGTTCTTTGGACTTTTCCACTTGGGCTGATTAGAACTGTGATCCTCAGATCTCAGTCTCCTGCATAACTAGCATTACAGGCATGAGCCACCAGCACTCTGTGAAAAGCAGCTTTAACAGGTAACCAGAGATATGGGAGGTAGACTCAAAGCCAAGTGCATCCTATGTTCTGAATACCTACTGTCTGGGCCAGGCTTCCCGCTCCTGATGCTCACAAGGATAAGCTGGGAGTTGGGAGAAGCTCAGGCTTACAAGGATAAGCTGGGAGCTGGGAGAAGCTCAGGCTCAGGGGAGGCTCTTCACCACCCGCCTCTTCCAGGAACCAAACTGCATTCACAGGCCACACCGCCAGGCTAAGCTGGTACTTACCTCTCGGGAAGGAGTCGTACTCGGCATAAAAGCCAACGTTTTGGATGCTGCCATCACTTCGGAATCGAACAGTCATAAGGTTGTTGGAAGATGTAAATATTTGCCCACTGTCATTACAGATCTTTCCTAGCAAATTATTGCTATTTATTGATCCATCATAGATTTCAACATAATCGTAAGCACAGTTACTGGTAAACTCCAGCCTATAAAGAAAATATGGACCAAAGTCAACACTGACATTCCTACTGGATACAAGTTCATGGTCTAGGTCTTCCCACACTGCACTGGAGGACTTCCCTGCAGCTTTCTGGGAGAGAACTAAACATGGCCAAAGTTTACCCAGAGCACAGGAGGGTGGAAAGCACCCAGGCACAGACCCAGCCTAAAGCTCCAGGTGTGTCAAGGGGAGCGCTGCCCTCCTCAGCCCCCTGATGACCCTCACCTCAGGTCAGTGAAGTGCAGGGTGATACGATAGTCAGAACGGACTTGGATTTTCCACACACACAGGGCGTTGTTGGGGTAATACGCAGGGTAGGATGGACTGGAGATCACCCCACTGCCATTGTATAAGAAGCCACCACAACTTGGAGCTGCTGTAGAGAAGAGAAGGAGAGCAACATCCCCTTTACCTTGAGGTGCTTCATGACAAGCAACTGTCTTCTAGGTGAGCATCTTCACATTTCCACCCTCCAGAGTCTAGTCCATGATTTAATGATGATTAATGGATATTATTTAATAAAACTATGATATGGCCATGCGATGCAGCATGGGCAATCCTTGAGCCTCGTGCTATAGAAATAATTTCAGTACCATAAGACACTAATTTTAAGGCCACAGGATAATTATAATCTATTTCAGGGGCTGGGAAGGTGGCTCAGTGGTAGAGTGCTTGCCTTACATGCATGAGGCCCTGGGTTGGATTCCTTAGCACCACATAAACAGGGTAAGTTGGAAGTGGTGATGTGGCTCATGTGGAAGAGTGCTTGCCTTGAGCTGAAGAGCTCAGGGACAGTGCCCAGGCCCAGATTTCAGATGCCATGACCGACAATAAAATAAACTATTATATTCTCTTTAAAGAAAATGAATGTTACGGGCATGCCAGGCAACAAACACTCACACCCATAAGCCTAGCTGCTCAGGAGCCTGCAGTATGAAGCTTGTGGTTTGAAGCCAGCCCATGGAGACAAATCTGGGAGACTCTTATCTCCAATTAACCAGAAAAAGATCCAGAAGTGCCTCACATAGCAGAACTCGACTTGAGAACTAGCCTTTTGAAAAAAAAAAGCTAGAGCATCAGCCACTGAGTTCAAGCCCTAGCACAAACATAAACAAGCCACAAATAAAGCCATAGGGCATGCTCTACCGTTATATGTGAATGTATGCTTTTGTGTTTGTGTGTGCTGTTTGACAAAATGCCAATAGCAATTAGGCACCAGGAATTCATTCTTTCCACAGTAGATCTTAAGTGGCAGACCATGGTAATGGGGCAACAATGAAGGGGCAGATACGACCCTGGACTTCAGGAAAGGCAGTTTGACAGAAAAGATAGCCAGGTCTTCAGCAAACCCTTCCCAATTCTGTCACTCCACAGCGTAGAGCTTTCCGGCAACTCTGCTGTCCCCAAGATAAAGTCTAGAGTGCTCCACCATCCTCAAGCTCCTCACTTATGTTTTGCAGCCCTTCCTGCTGTCACCTTCCTTCCCGCAGAGACTGCAGCTCCTTCCCACCTGGGGCCTTCTGAGCCGCCCATCTAGGAGACACCTGGTGATTGACACTGTGGCCTTTGGCTCAATGGTTTGCCAGAAAGCGTTTCCCATCCCTTTCTAAGGAAGTGTGCGAGAGAGCCTCCTCTTACACACCGCTCCTTCCCTTGACAGTGTTGATTCTACTTTAATACTTTGAAACACCCGAGCAGGAGATTTGAGTTTTCATGGTTCTCTAATACTTGTGCAAACATTCTCAGTGGCACTTTAACCCAACACACAACTAGGTGTTATAAAACTTCCCACTGAAATAGATACTATTTATCAAGGATCCTCTGCTAATCTGAAACTGAGCTGATGCTTATCTGGCAAATCAAATTCTAATGTCTGTTTTGTGGTGCTATGATGTGAACTCAGGGCCTCACCCTTGCTGAGCACTTGAGCTCCTGCCTGTGATTGGTGTGTCTTTACACATTGTTAAGGAAGTTTAGGAGTGGTGCTGGCATTTACCTATATTTCTAACCACTCAAGAGACAGATACTGGGACGATTGTGGTGTGAGGCCATTCTGTGAAAGTCTGGTGAGACCTACCTCAACACACACCGCAGGTGTGGTAATTGATATCTGTAGCCCCAACCATATAGAATACATACATGGGAAAATTATTTTCAAAGGGCACTATGGGAAAAATGAGAAAAAAACCTAAAAAATAACCCTCTCTCTCTCTGTCTCTCTGTCTCTCTCTGTCTCTCTGTCTCTCTCTGTCTCTCTGTCTCTGTCTCTCTCTCTCTCTCCCTCTCTCTCTCTCTCTCTCTCTCTCTCTCTCTCTCTCTCTCTCTCTCACACACACACACACACACACACACACACACAGGCTGGAAGCATGGCTCATGTAGAAGAGGGCCCTGCTTAGCAATCTGATGCCTTGAGTTCCACTGATAGTCCTGTCCAAAAAAAAGTGAAACAATGTAGAAGACCTATCTATCAAGATATTTTTCATCACATCATTTATAACAATGACATATAAGCCATCAGTTAACTAATTACTGGCATAGCCACTATGGAATAATATACAGATATTTGTAGATGGTGATGAGAAAAAATTCAAGGGCACCCAAGATCAGCCACACACTGTCTTTTCAGAGCAATGGAAAGCAACCTGTGAAAGTGGGCAAAGCACTGTGATATGGCTGGAATGAACTGTTCACTCCCCTTCGCTGTTCTTTCTTCCAAACCTTTGGAGACACTTAAAGAAGTAAAAATCCTTTAAGTCACAAGTACTTCTGACACTGATATAATGAAGAAGTCCCAGAATGGCTGATCTCCCAACAGGACAGACATGGTGGGTGTGGGCATGAGTCCTGGCATAGAGCCGTGGGCATCCCTAGGGTAATTGGCTTGTGCACACTGAGCTGGGGCGGGGTAGGGGTCTTCTTTATGGTTGGCCAGGCTTAGGGATAAAAAATGAAAATGGGATACTTACGCGAAGGAGTTGTATTTGTTACATTCCACCAATCTAGAAAGAAGAGGAAGGTGACAGGATTTTTAGTGACTGGTTTTTAGCTCCATGAGTGTTGCCTCAGGAGACATGTTAAATCCCTTATCTTCTATGGGGTTGGGGTGCTCAGCGGATGTGGAGGCAGGAGGATCGGATGGAGAGTTTAGGGCCACCTTAGGCAAGCCCAGAAAGCCTTCCCTCCGAAATGAAGTCCTTTCTCTAACTACAGAACTTCTCAGAAGAGTCCTGGTGGCAGCTAGTGGCCTGTGGAGGCTGCGGTTCACAGCACATTCCCACATAGTTCACACACAGCATTTTCAGTGTGGCACAAAGAGCAATACTTGCTTGTTTACTTGCTTGCTTGTTTTGTCCTGTGCTGGGGCTTGAGCTCCGAGACTTATACATCTTGCTTGTTTTTTTTTTTTTTTTTTTTGCCTAACAAGCAAGAGACCCTGAGTTCAAACCCTAGTGCCACCAAAAGAAAAAGAGCGGAAAAGGGAAGAGGGAAAGGGAGAAGGGGGGTCCTATTAGAAACCTGTCAAGATTATATGATATGAGTTCTGAATCTTTCTCCTGGTGGGACATTGACTTGGGACAAATAATTGCTCTCTTCCCCTTATGTACAAAAGCAAGCTGATAGTGAAGGATTCCCCCCCCCCCCCAAAAAAAGAGAGGGCCTATGAAAAGCCTAAGGAGAAAGTCAGTCTTGGACCTTTGGTTCCAAGCTGTACTTAGAGCACAACAGTAAATGTCCTGCACAAGGGAGCCAACAAGTTCCTTTCTAGCTAAGATTTTGAGTTGGGCTCCTGTCACTTGCAGACAAAAGCATCCTGACTCAAAGACCCACTTACAGCACAACGCAACTGGCAAGTGAAAGGAACCCTTTTCACGAACCTCCAAGTAACCTCAGCAGTTCCCCTCAGACCTGTCCGTTAGAGGGCTGAAGGCAATTGCTTTAGCTTCTCCCATATATACTTACCATAGTACGGAGTTGTTGTATGCCACCAAGCTAGAGGAAAAAACAAAGCTAGATTAGAGGGGAGGACTGTGACTCACAGCTGGGTCCACTGAGATATGGCTGGGACCAGAGGCAGGGGACTCCGAGAAAGCCAGTGGTCAGCAAACCAGCTCCGGAATATATCTACCACCTAGTCCCAAAGGGAACTTTAATTCTCTCCAGTAGGAGGGAGCTTTGGGAAAAGAATCACTTAGTCTCCTCCCATGTGGCTTTTGGTCTAGACAGTGCTTTCCAGCAGAAATAGCCCAAGACAGCTCTGCCTTCGGTCCCCAAGAGCACTGCTGTTGAGCGCCACAGGTCAGGAACTGGATCTGTCTTATCCTTCTGGAATGGGCAGAGCAAGAATGCTCCACAGTCCCCTCCTAGAGCTACCGGCTGGAGCTGTAAAGAGTATCAGGAGAGAGGAACACACGGGAGTGAATTCACAGTGGGACTTACCTGGAACGGTAGTCAATGGCCTCCGGACCGCTGCAAGAAAGGGAAGGTCAGGTCAGAGGCGTTACACCAAAGGAGGCAAAGCTGCGGTGCAAGGGGAAGATGCGGAGCAGAATTCCCCCCATGCCTCAGAGCCACCCCACAACACACACCCCCTGGTGGCTCCCCGGAGGAAGTAGCAGGCAAGGACCCAGGCTCTCAAGCCTCAGGTCCACTGTGTGCATACACACATCTGCCACCCTCCGCCCAAAACTCCTCCTTTACAGACCTTTGCACTGGATGCCAGAAGTGAATGATGGCAGAATCAAATTCTAGGAGTAGGGAAAGGTGACCTGCTCAAACTTGATTCTCAGGGAGGGAGAACTAGCTGGTGTGGGGCTCACCTGAGCAGACGACTCCAGCATCCTCATGGTGTCCGCAGTTATGGGAGAGCCAGCCCCGGTGGTTACAATTCCACAGGTACGACTCGTGCCCTGAGCAGGCCACATCATCCAAGACAATGGGTCCTGAGCCCTGACCAAACCGGCCACTCCCCGGAGCCGACAGGGCATAGCCACAGCCCAGCTGCCTGCAGACCACGTTGGCATCATTGTTGTCCCAGCTGTCATCACACACGGTGCCCCAGGACCCCTGGTACAGGATCTCCACGCGGCCCTGACACCGGTCTCCTCCATTCACCAGCCTCAGCGCCAAACCGGAATCTCCTGCTGGAGAAGACACAGGGTTCCTACTTAACCGCATTCTGTGCAGCTTATGAGGGTCAGGAAGCTGGGGTATCACCACTGCCCCTCCCTGAAGGGTAAAGTCTGAGGGTAAATGGACAGTGACTGGCTTCCCTGGGGTGATCCTGAGCAGCTCTCATCCATGCCATGAGAGCTCTGCTGGAGAAAGGCCGACCCGCCATCGCTCCCTATCTGGATTGTCCTCTTCTCTGACATCTTTTGCTCCCCCTTCTGCTACCATTACCTCTCTGACACAGCCACACATATCTGCATTTCCTGCAAATATACCAGGGAGCAAGCTGGAAAGAATTAGGTTCACTGGGCACTGGAAGAACAAGGCAGCTGCCCCTTGATGCTTCTCCTGATGCCTAGCAGAAGCAGAGGAAAACTGAGGAGGGTGAAGGAAGCAGAGCCATCTGCAAGCTTGACCTACAGGAGAGCACTGTGCATGTGCATCTTCACACCGGCATCCTGTGCTCATCAGCAAAGTAAGTGAGTGAATGGATGGTCTCATGTGAGACAGAGCAACAGAGATCAAACAAATGACCTCTAAGGACAAGGGAGGCAAAGACCTCTACAGAACAAGGAGAACAAATGACCTCTACAGAACAAGGAGAACAAATGACCTCTACAGGACAAGGGACACACCCTGGGTCCCTGGCAAAGGATGTCCCCAGTTCCCAGCCAGAAGATGATGGAAGCTCACATCAGAATTTTTACCCTCAACACCAGGCATAGAACCATTTCACTATGATGAAATCTATTTCTCACCATTCAGATGGGTGTGGGTAGATGACGCTTGTTCCTTGCATTCAAGGTGCCCTACAGGCTCAGGTTTTGTCACGGAGGCTACCTGGGAGTGACTGATGCTACCTTCCTGTTAGAGTCAAGGTTCAGCTACCAGAGGAACATCAGCAAAGATCTGCAGGGGGCCAAGCACCGCCCCCCTCATTCCCACTTCCCCCGCAGCATGGGGCAAAGGGTCTGCCCCAGTCATTCCAAATATGTGATTCTCCTCCCAGACTGAATGAAATTTCCCAGCCCCTCTGGGCTCAGCGACTGCCCACGGAATTTTCTACGACCAAAGGCAGCTGGATGATGCATGGGGTACGGGGCACCCCACAACCTGCCATCGGCCCTCCTGAAATCATCTCACTAGTTGGAGGAAGGAAGCAGCCTTTACCTCCTTCTTAAAGACTTAGTGAAAACAAAGAGTGAGAAACAAAGACATATTCAATTTGAGTACAGCACAATAACCTATCAACTCTGCATGGTACCACCAATACCCAGAGACCAATACCCAGGGCCCAAATGTCCCTACTCAGATCTGAGCCTGGATGGGCACCAGCCCACAGGGCCCTCTGTCTAAGGAGGGAGCAGCAGAAGCATACCACAAATCAAAGGCACCCACAGGAAGCTGTGGGAGCAGGGTTGGGGGACTGATCAGAAGCTGTCCCAATGGGGGGGGGCACGGATCTTGGAGGCCCACTTGTGCAGATGACACCTGTGTCTGCATGGTGTCTGCAGTTGTGAGAGAGCCAGTCTGGGTGGGGCAGTGCTGATAGTGAAGGATTTCACTATCCTGGTAGGATTCACTTCCCAAGCAGCTCACATCATCCAGCACAACCGGCCCTGAGCCCTGACCACACGGGGCATTTGCTGGGGCTGAGGTGGCTGAGCCACAGCCTAGCTGCCTGCACACCATGTTGTCATCACTAGTGTCCCATCTGTCATCACACAGGGTGCCCCACCCCCCTGGTACAGGATCTCCATCCGGCCTTCACACCAGCCACTCCCATTCATCAGCTTCACATCCAGTGCAGTATCTAGAGGGACACAGAACACTCCATCCATCTCTCCCTTGACTTCAAGGATGCAAGACATGGTCTTCACTAAGGCGTCTTAGGAAGGGACAGGCTCACAACAGATCACCAGCTTGGCCTGCTCTGTTTGCCACTGAACCCACAGAGACAGGGGCAAGGCAGCGACTCCCTCCACCCCCCACCTATCCATCACAGAGCCGATGCTTACCTGTTGATTCCAAAGTCCTGAAGGCAGGTGATGTGTGTGAAATAGGCCCTAGAAAGAAGAGGTAAAAATCGACTTCAAGTGAAGGAAGGACAACACTGAGTGCTCTCCCCACCATACAAGACTCATCAGCAATTCCACTTGTAGCTTGTGCCACAAACTCCTTGGTCATGTGCAAAGACCTCATCCATAGGAAAAAGGCCCTGCCGACCCCATGGCTGACCCCCATCCTTCTCCTCCTGGGATGTTCTTTCCAGTGAAGGAAGCTTTGTCTGTTCCTTTGCTGACCATGTGCTGATGGGTACACGTGACACCACGGTGCACACTGGGATACCCAGCGCCAGAAGAGCAGGGTGTAGAACATAGGAGAATCCATGCACTGGTAACTAGAAACTTCCTCTTACAACCTCGTGTACGCCTTCCTCTGGGTGCAGATGCGGCCCTGTGAAGTCTGGGGGAGTCTCTAGGAGTAAGGGGCACAGGCATCTGGCTGATGTTAACACGGCGCTTGCAGGCCAGAGATGATCAACATCACTTCCCACTGGACCGTGTCAGCCTGGAATCTAAAAGGACCAAGGCTCATGGGATGAGTGACTCCATTTCTGAAGCTGAAAACATCACCCACTGAGCCCCTATCTAACTGTCTGAGGCAGACCTAGAAGGCTTGAGAAAAGAAGATTGCTTCTGAATTCCAACAATTCTGACGGTGGGTGGAAAAGCATAAACATCTCGAGTCAGGACGCTGGCACTAACCTGGAGAGATGGTAGTCTGGCTGTAGAAATCTATGAGAAAGAGAAGGAAGGTTAGATTCACGTGCACGCATGCCTGCCTGGAATAACAGGTGGGAGGATTTACAGGCTGAGCTGATGACCCACACATCCCCACACATGTACCAGCCAGGGGAGCTCTGAATCCCTCAAGCACTTCAGGTAGCTCCCCTGTCCCCCCTCCCAGCCACACCCTGCATCTGTGTGCTTGAAGGTCACTCTCCAAAAGCAGGAACAACACAGCGACCCTTGGAGAGCCCACCACAGCCTCTGCATGACCATGCAAAATCCATTTTCAGCAATGAGTCATTACAGACCCACTGATGCATCCTCGAGTTGAAATGAATCTGGGGCCTGACATGGAGTCTAGCAATCTTCCCTGCAGCCATGTTCCAGCCCTGTCTGCCTTCACTTGCTGCCTGCCTCCTTGCTGCCTGCCATCACTGCGCCTCACCTCCAGCACAACGATCCCCTGAGACCTCTGAACTTTTCCCATAAAGGACTGCAGCCTGGACAGAGGAGGCTTTATCAACCACATCTCCTAGGACAGAGTGTCAGGACACTCTGGGAAGGGAGACAGCTGGTTGTTCCTCAGCTATAGCCACGGCTTATTGCTTCTGCCCTCAGGATACTGGACCGGGGCCTTTCTCATGGTGTTCAATGACTTCCAAGACAACACGGGTACTGTTTGCAAAAGCCAATATATGTCAAAACACCACGGCTACGCAGCCCCGAATTGTACCTCGAGGGTAAACTCTCGAGCCACTGGGTAACTATGAGAGATGGAGTCAAAGCTCTGAGTGAAAGTGGTATTTTCTCTGAATATTCATGATCCAAAATGGGAGGTAGATATGAGTGGCATGAGATTAAGTTCTACTCTTAGAACTTAATCCAGTTGATGAAAATCCACTCTTGATGAGGGGGACCTGGTAGGTTTGGGGACCCACCTGAGCAGACGACTCCAGCATCTTCCTGGTGTCCACAGTTATGGGAGAGCCAGCCCCGGTGGTTACAATCCCAGAGGAACGACTCGTGCCCCGAGCAGGCCACATCATCCAAGACAATGGGTCCTGAGCCCTGACCAAACCGGCCACTCCCCGGAGCCGACAGGGCATAGCCACAGCCCAGCTGCCTGCAGACCACGTTGGCATCATTGGTGTCCCAGCTGTCATCACACACGGTGCCCCAGGACCCCTGGTACAGGATCTCCACGCGGCCCTGACACCGGCCTCCTCCATTCACCAGCCTCAGTGCCAAACCGGAATCTGGTTATAGACAGGGCGCAAAAAGGACATTTATCATCAAAAGCTGTTTTCTGGGCCTAACTTGCATAGCTGGTATATAGCCAAGACCAGTCCTCCTGCAGTTTAAAGTCCACACAACAGTATGCATTGTGTGCTCCTTCCCCAGGGCCTCTAGCCCCTTACCTTTATCCTCACCCCAGTACCACGTCAGGATGCCCACCACACACCAGGCTTTAGTCACTGAGGTTATCTTGATTTGCCATGACCCAGGTTGATCACCCTGGATGGCAAAAAAAAAATACCCGCCCTGCCTCTACCTTGCAAGACCCCCAGGGACCCCTTCCCAGGGACCATAAAAGCTGGAGATGAGACTCAGAGCAGGGCACCCTGAAACAATACAGGTCTTACTCCCACAGACCTGGAGACCTTTGTGGAAGATTATCTTATTCTGAGGCTTCTGACTCCAAAGTTTCTTCTGAGAGAACTCAACCCTCACCCTACAGCCCAAGGATTTTTGTGACCTGAAGAGACAGAAGGGAAGTGGGGGGGAGGGGGGGGAGGAGAGTACCTGTTATAAATGTTTCATCAGGAACTATTGTGCCTATGGGAGAAGAAAAAGAAGAGAATGTGTGAAGAGAGGTAGGTCTTGCTTGCTGATTCTCATAGAAACCTGGACCAGGCCGCATGGCCTTCTTTGTTGCACCTGTATTTTGCCCCTTTGAATATACTGTAGTTCTTTACTCTTAACCCAGTCAAGAAGATGTCTGAGGTCTTAAAAATCATCCCCCTCCAAAGTCCCAGCAGCATGGTTGATGCCTCCACATCTTGTATCGAGAAGGTAAAAGAGCTTCTCAAACAGGAGCCCACTTCCTCCCTCAACACCAGACAGGAGACTCGGCCTTCTGAGACTCCAGTTTCCACCAAACCAACCGACAGGGATGCAATAAGGTAGGAGATGATTTCAGCCTCCTCCCACCCTCTGGAAAGTGACCCCAAGCCCAGGCGGGAGGGTTGTTTACATCCTTGTGCAGGTGTGGCAATGGTGTGCCTCCCACTCCTTGAAAGACAAGGAGAAAGGCTAAAACTACACTTGGAAAAGGTTCTTACCAGGAAGATCTGATGACAGTAATCAGCTCCTGAAATCTCTCTTGCTCCCTGTGTGTCTGCCCCAGGCTCCTATTTCTGAACTCATTCATGTGACAAAGGCCCTGCTGTCAATCAGACTGCCACTTCCATCTCTCTGAATTTGTGACATTTTCACTCAGCTAGAAAACCGCTGCCCTCCATCATGCCCAATGACTTCTGTGTCCTTATGGCTATGGTTGCCCTCACACTACCACTTGGGTAGAAGGGTGAGAGGCACCAGACAGCAAGCCGACTAGGGCAGCATGAGGTTCTGTAGTGAGGAATGCACCAGAAACTTCCATCACCTCCTTCCCCAGGTACTGCCCGTCCTCTCCTGGATACAGACCTGCCCTGTAGAATAAGTATGCTACAAAAGGGGGCCAGAAAAACAGAGCCACCCCAATCCTAGTACACAAGAGTACACTGCACACCCGTGCGGATGTATCTGCACAAGGGCATACACTTGCGCCTCCATGAAGGAGAAGAGTAACCAGTGTCATGGGCTGAGGCAGCCCGGCAGGGACAGTGTGAGGGGACCCCTGGCAGGAGAGGAGTCCCCAGGAGAGGCTGGAAACTCATATGAGCATTCCCTTTTTGGGTCCAGACACAAAAATGCTAACTGTAAATAAAAGCTCCTATTTCTCACCACCACCCACTCCTCAACTCCCACCCCCCACGCCATTAAATGGCTTCCACATGCTCCTGTGGTGTCTGCATTAAGGTCACAGTACAGAGAGACAGGCTTTGTCACTGCTGGTCAGCCAGGCTGTGCTGATGAGGTTAACTTCTCATGGCAATCAAGGTTCAGGCACCCAGCGGATTTAAGCAAGGTTAAGTATCAGCACTGCCTTTGCCCTGGCCCAAGCTCCTTGCTCTTCAGACATGGGACACACACACACACACACATACCACACCACACCACACCACACACATACCACACACACAACACACACACAAAAAACACATACACACACACACACACCACCATACCACACCACACATACAACACACACACACACACACACACACACACACAGAGGTAACTCCAAGCAAGAATCTCATGGAGAATGAGAGGGGGAACTGACCCCACCCATCCTGGAGGTTTTTCCACTATACTTCATCCACCGTAACCAGGGCACTCAGCTTTATGTCTGAGTCAGGAAAGCTGGAAAATCTCACAGGACTTCTCCCTACACTAGAGACCCTAATAGAAGCAGTTCTAAGAAAGCCCACTCTGTGGCCTATGTCCAGACAGATCATCCAAGCCCTTCCACCCCTCATTCTTGTCCTGGTTTTAGCCAATTGCATCAGAGAGTTGGTCTGATCTGCTACTGTTTCTGCTACCAAACAGTAAGTTAGAATAAAGCCAGTCTCAACCTCAGCTCTGTGTCCTGAACTATAGAGAAGAGAAAGAGAAGGTGGTCAAGGACACCTTGCCTGACTGGCCCACGCTGACTCCTAAGAAGGCCATCAGCCTTGGTGTGGAGAATGGCCTTGATTTTTGTCCTAAGGCCTAAAGTTCTCATGGGAAAGGAGAAGTGAGTTCCCTTCTCCAAGCCCAGGCTGTGAGAACCTCCAGCTTTATTGACTGTGCCTCATATCTTTTTCTGGAGGTGCCCAGCCAGAAAGGTCAGGATGACCCTGGAAGGAGGGTCACGAGTTCTTACTATGGGTTCACAGGAAGGGCACGGCCAAGGATGCCACCGAAGCAGGTCTGTGCCTGTCTCTCTGACCAGCATGACAGGCTGCCCAGCAGTCTGAATGGATGCATGAACACTGGACATGGGAAATAGGATCCCAGACTCTACTTCGGAGCTCCTTGGAGATTCCTCATCCTATTGATTCCCCTCTGTCTGGGAGAAATGATCCATGGAAGAGATGTTTGTTCAGGCCTGAGGCCTCTTGGGGAGCCGAGCAGACCTCCTCCTAGGCCCTCTGCCCCTGCTTTGGATAGTGATGAGCCCACGGGTGCACGATGTGGGCAGAGAGACTACAGGGATCCCACACAATGATCTTTACCTTCTGGTGTTGGCGTGTGTTCCTCACTGAGTACTTCTGCAGAGTGGAAAAGAAAGAAGAGGTCATTGGATGTTGTCTCTCACTGGCAGAGCGGTAGGTCCCCGTTTCCCCTAGCTCAGAAGCAAAGGGTGGGAACATACTCCCTGAAGGCTATGATTGCTAAAATGCTGGTTTTTTCCCCTTATGAAAAACCACTGATCCTTCTGTCACTTTGCCTGTAAGATGCCTTCAAAAGTGTATTTATTCTGCTCCTTTCTGCTGCTTCTACCTCCTCTGTGTCTAATCTCCATCTAAAAACAAAATCACCTCATCCTAGTCATGAGATGGGTCTCCAAATGACATCTGGCAATTTCCATAGCTGACAGACACTCTCAAATGACAAATAGTTGCCATCATTGAGATATCCCAAGGAAAATGACCCTAATCAGAAAAGAAAGGTCATTTCTAGAAATGCATTCTGGAATGCCAAAATAAGCACATGCACAAAGTGGCTGCACAGAATTCTGTGAGCCTTTGGGTCATGCATTCCTAGGGGAGGCTGGCCTGTCATGGTCACGCCCTTGTGCGGTGGTAGGCACATAGTCCAGGCCACACGGTGGGTATCAGGGACCGCTTTAAATAGAAACTCCTTTCTGGAGGACACATGATGGACTGGCATCCTGGGAGGGCTCTTTGTGGATTGAAGGACGCCTTGACGGTTGAATGTAGCACCATGTGAACAGATGAGAAAGACAGCCTTGGGGGTCATTGAGTTGCATGAGGGAGACTTCCTCTTTTACCTGATGTGTTTAGCATCATTCACTTACCTTTTAATCCCCCAAGAGAGCGCATATTAGCCACTCCTCCATTTTAATCTGGTGCACATTAAAAGCAGTGAGGACCAGCAGTTTCCCCATCCTCTCCCACCTTCGCAGAAGGAGAGGCTGTGGCTAACGCCAAGGATGCTCGCGACGCCACTCATCAGAGCCAGCCCATTGAGTGACGGCATCTGCAAACTCTGAGGGGAACCTCGGCTTTGGACCATGGGCGGTCCCTAGACCTCTCTGAGCCTCAATGTCTTTGTCCGTGCAAAGCAACAGCCCTTGTTGTATAACAGCAGCTAAAGCGAGACTCACAGCAGAGCAAGTGAACAGTGCAGTGTGCGTGTACGCGTGTGCTCACATACACATGCGGTATTGCGTTGGAGTGCGCATGCAAGCGTGAGAGGCCACAGCCACGCTACCTGAGCACGTGACTCCGGCGTCCTCCCTGTGGCCACATTCGTGGTTGTACCAGCCATCGTGGCGGCAGCTTGACAGGTAGGGCTCCCATCCCGAGCAGTACACGGCGCCCAGGAGGATATTCCCCGAGCCCTGACCAAAGTGAGCCCCGCCCAGGGCCGACACGGCCCGGCCACAGCCCAGCTGCCGACAGGCAACCTCTGCATCCTGGATGTCCCAGCCGTCATCACACACGGTGCCCCAGTGGCCTTGGTACAGGACCTCCACCCGGCCCTGACACCGGTCACCGCCATCCACCAGCCTCAGTGGCAAACCTGCATTGACACAGCGGAAGGCCTTGGTCTCGGCACCCTCTGCCCTGTGGCTTCCTGGCCAGTGGTGACGCTGCCCAGCACCCCTCTTTCTCCTTCCTCCCTAGGCTGCGTCCTTCTCCAATTCTTCCCCTTGCGATTTTAAAGACAGCTCTCTTCCCCCTCTTCTCGCTCTCCTACAACTCCCCCAGAGAACTTCATGCATGCCCTCTGAGGACCCTGTTGGCAGCAGGCCCCAGAGCTACCTCTCCAGCTCTGGCTCTGCTCTGAAAGTCCCATCCCAGAGCTCTACACCCAGATTCTGGGAAAGTGGTCCTTACAACCATCGATCATCACCAAAGTTCCCTCCAGCTTCCCTGCAATGCCGCCAGGGAGCGCTGTGGTTCAACCTTGGATGTGAGCACCACCAACATTTTTACTAAAAGTAAGTGGTTGTGGTGACAAAGTTAAAGCAAGGAGGTTAGAGACAAGTGTTCAATCATTTTAGATATAGCACACAAAAAAAATACATAGCGCTCTTCTATCTACACAGGGCTGGGGGTGAGGCTTAAGCAATAGAGCACCTGTCTATAGAGTACAAGGCCCTGAGTTTAAAAAAAGAAAAACAATTGTGTACACATAGTTCTTGTTAGCAAAACAGTGCTCCTATGACTACACTGAGAACGTAAGTTCTCACTCGGTACTGTCCCAGGTGTGAGGGGGGTAGGGGGTGGGAGGAGGGGGGGAGGGCAGTTCCCAGTGTGTCCTCGTGTGTGGGTTAACAAAATTGTAGACTCCTCAGCCCCGCCTCCATCTCTGTGTTAGCCTCTCCCCAGAGAGGGAGGTGAATCCCCAGCCCTTCATTTGACTGATGTACTTGATTTTACTCTGTACTGAATATGGAGGTGAGGCAGGACAAAACTGAAGAACGTGGCTCTGCTGCCAAATGGCCCGTCAACGCTATCGCCAGAGGAAGTTTCTGTCGACTTTGTGTTTCTAGAAGGGACACGCATCGCACCTTTATGCTAGCCTCGTGTCAGTTACTAAGGCGACATTTACTGTCTGGAGGATTTTTAATGGGTTTCATCGCAACATCTGGATTTATTCTCAAGAAGGAAATAACTGCGTCAGGTGAAAAAAAAAAATCAGTTATAAACTAAACCGATTCTTTTCAAAGTACTTACCAGTTAGGAAATCTGAATCTGTACCTGTAATGGAAGAAAAGAAAAATCAGACATGTGTCCTGACAAAAAATCCTGTGAAGGAACGCACCTGATTCTGACACAGAAACAAGCAAGGATGTATGATCCTCAGCCAGCCCTGACCCCCGGGGCAGGGGGTGTTCACCTCTGCTGTGTGGCTTCCTGAAGAGCCACGCCAGTGTCCTTCTCTAACCAGTGCCTTCCATGGGAATCCAATGAAAGAGTACAAACACTCAGTTGAAGATGCCAGCTGTGTCTGGGAGTTCCACTCTCATAAGTTCAGCAGATGGAAAGTTGTGGGGAAAGAGGCTGCAGATGTACTAAGCAGGCAAAGGTTTCTTCTCTTGCCACTATTTCCCTGCCCAGTGATTTGCACAGCATGGACACTGGGTTAGGAATTGGAAGGAGGAATGAGGAGAGGATTTACAGTCTACAGGAGGAGATGTGCAGGCTGGATGCCATTTTACATGGGAGACTTGAGTATCTGAGGGTTTGGGCATCTCAGGGATTGTAAGACCAACCCCTGGGGACACGGGGGACAACTGTTCTCAGTGACAGTGAAGATGTGTGCGCTGTCATTCTGCTGAGGATCTGGTGGAAGGCCAGATGTTGGCGTTCACCAGCACACACCTGCACCTCTGTCCTCCCTGCCATACCAGCTCTGCATGGGAACATTCAGACTAGGTGCTCTACTAAGTTCTTGATAGTGCTGAGCTGAGTACCGAATAAGGATGATACCCGTGCCCCAGCAGAGCAGTATCACTGCAGATACCCATAGATAGCACGCTACACAGACAGATGCTGGCCAAGATGCCGTGAGAGAACAAGGCAGCCGCGGTGTGTGTGAGTGTGAGTGTGTGTGTGTGTGTCTGTGTCTGTGTGTGTACCTCGGTGTTTGGGTTTAAGTATGCAGTGTACCTGAAGTGTATCTCTTTGCATATTTGTGTGATACATGCATTTATATGTGATACTGTATATGTCTCTGCATGTTGCCATGTGTGTCTTTGCGTGTGTGTATGGGTATGTCTCTCTGCACATGATTGTTTATGTATCCATCGTTGTGTGTTTTCTGTGTGCCCGTGTGTGCATCTGAGTGTAAGAGCATGTGTGGTGGTGCATGCCTGTAATTCTGCCACTCAGTAGGCTGAGGCAGAGAAGCCCAACTTGGAGCTACAAATTAAGACCCTGCCTCAAAAGAAAAGGAAGCAAAATGAAACAAAACAGAAACAGGACGTAGAAGAAAATACCAGCAAAGGGGCATGTGGGGGACTGAAGCAAATGGGGGTGGGGGCCGGGGAGCCCAGATACCAGGCTGCAGCTGAGACTTGGTGAAGCCTCAGGCTTTCTCTGCATTCCACAGCATTCAGCAGCTACAGAAGATGAGACCTGCACTGCCCAGCATGTGATCGTTCAGTTAAGAACAGATCAAGAAAGGAGGGCTGGGCTGGGAAGGTAGCTTAGTGGTAGAGTGCTTGCCTAGCATGCATGAAGCCTTGGGTTCGATTCCTCAGTATCACATACACAGAAAAAGCCAGAAATGGTGCTCAAGTGGTGGCTCAAGTGGTAGAGTGTTAGCCTTGAGCAAAAGCAGCTCAGGGACAGTGCCCACGCCCTGAGTTCAAGCCCCAGAAATGGAAAAGAAAAGAAAAAAGTTTTAAAAAGAAAGGAGGGCTGTCCTGAAGGATAATTAATCACCAGCATGGCCTGCTATCAAAGCGACTCAGAAGTCCCCCCACCACGCAACACTACCCACGCTCAAATACCTGAACAACGCTGAAAGTCCCTGCATTCAATGTTCTCCTTCCAGGCACGGCTAGTTAAATTGCAGGAGGACTAAGAATGAGGCTGAGCAGTATGCCTGGAATGAGTTCAAAAGGAACGACTACTTGCTCAGTTTGAAAAACACTGGCCTTGAAGAAATGAGACCCATGGAAGGAAAGTTGGGGGAAAAAATGGGGGCCAATTTTGGATTTAAAGAAGAGCAATGATGCTACAGAGAGTTCGCACACACCCCGACCCAGCCTCTTACATTCTCACCACTGAAGTCATCCAGGCACAGCCTATGCCTGTCCACTAAACTATCAGCTTTATTTAGAGTTCGCCAGTGTCTCCTTTTCCAGAAGCCAGTCCAAGAGCCACAGTGCATGTAGGAAGTCACATGTGGATAAAACATTAGGGAAATGCCTAGAATAGGAACTCTGGCCTTTCCAAGGCTCCTGTTATGAGCCAGACCTGACCTGGGTGACCTGACTCCTTCACGACCCTCTGTGGCGCAAGGAAACATAACCCCCTTACAAATGAGTAAACTGAGGCTTACAGTGCCCCTCCCCCAACAGCTGGCCAGTGGCAGAGACAAGGACAAATGCTTAGGACAGAAGTGGGCGCCCCTATCTCTGTTGCCCTGTGAGGCCTGGGTACACAAACTGCTAAGAAGCTCTCCGGTGCTGAGCTGGCTGCACCCCCCACCCCCCCTCCCCCCCACCCCCCAACCCCACCCTCACTCATACTCTGCCCCTGCCAGCAGAAGGGAGGACTGGCTGGCCATCACTGCTGCCCAAAGCCAGGGGGCTTCGTTCTGAGTTCACATCTGGCCCTAGCCGCCCAGGAGCTGCTATCCTGGAACAAGTCACAGATCTGCCCAGCCCTGGTGTCTCCATCTACAACAAGGAAGGATGGCGCCAGACTTTGTGGTTATTGGCCGAGCTGCCTGAGAAGACAAGTGAAGCGAACTACCACGGGCACGCGGGTGAGCTGCTGGCTGGAGCAGCCTGGGGAAAATGACAAATCCTCGCAGCCCCAGGACCCTGCTGCCTTTGTCCCTGTGTGGACAAGGACCTGGCAGTCTGCTCCCCACCCTCCAGAGCTGACAGGACCCCAGGGCACTGTCACGGAGCCAGAGCAAGGCTGTCCCCGCGAGAAAGTTGGAACTAGGGCCCTGCTACCTCTTTTCACACGCCGCAGGACCTGCCCATCCCTCACACCGCCCCCAGCAGAACCCTGAGCCCAGGCCTCTCCCAGCCTGTGTGAGAACACTCCCTGCAGCGGTGGACCGGAGGCCTTGCTCGGGAGATGCTGCTTTCACAAAAGCCATCTCTCAAGTGCACCTAAAACTTCAGAGCACCCCCAGGAAGAGAGGGATAGTTCTGGAAGTGCTGTGGAAATTTGACCATTTTTACCTTTCCCTCCTGAAATTCACAAATCCGACGCAAAAAAGGGATGTCAAGTTGGGGGAGGGGGCTGAAAGGAGGAATGAGAGAGAAGAAAGAAAGATGGGTGGGGGGAGGAAGGAGGTAAAGAAAGAAGAACGGAAGAGGGAGAGGGAAGGAAGATGATCGGTGCTAGATGAGAGAGAGCAGAGAAAGGCTGAGATAGATAGAGAGACAGAGACAAAGATCTCGCTTTCTGATACAGAGACCAGAGAGGTGGAAAGAGACATGAGGAGGCAAAGAGAAAGATTCAAGGAGAGACAGACAAACAGGCATGAAGGGAGAGAGACAGAGATAGAGATAGAGAGGAAGACAGGAGGACAGGTGGGCAGAGACAGTGGGAGGAATTCAGAGGAAGAGATAAAGAGCGACAGAGAGAGAGAGAAGACAGACTGAGACGAGAGAAGGGGAGACAGACACTGAGATTCGCCAGTCACAGAGATCTGCCAGCGGCTCTTCCAGTGTTTATCGTCTGATGCTGAGAACACAAAGCCATGCTAGAGCGACTGAGCTGCCAGTCACTTGTCTGAGCAGTGAGTGGACGGCTTAGACTTGGAATGGAAACGCATTCCTGTCTCTGTCCGTTACTTGACCCAATTGTGCTCAGCAAATATTGCTTGTGGAGTCAGACACACCTGCAGAGGGAAGGCATGGCAGGGGCACTTTTTCCTGTTTCTTACCAAGAGTCCTAAATTGGAATTATAATGAGAATCATTCCTTATTTTTGTAGCATACAATCCAACCTTGTGCTGAGCCCATTCTGCTAAACTCTGAGGCCTCTTCGTCTTACATCTATACCTTTCCTGAACCCTACGAGCTTTTCTAATCCCAATCAGTCATTTATTTCACTGAAATCACTGAGGTGATGATTAGCTTGTTCTTAGGATAGCCAGAAACCAAACCAAACCAGAACAAAAAGATACCTTCCTTCTAAACACCAGCAAGTACTTACAACGATCAACAAGAAAGTCCTTGAACAAAACTCAATACCAGAGAGACAGGCAAATGCCAAGAAACAAGATGATCTGACCTGCCAGAACTGGGTTTGCATGGTCTAGGGAATGATCAGAATAATTAGACATAATACCTGCAGAGAGAACTTGACCCCATAAAAGACATGTTGCGAGAATGACCGTGGAGATCCCCATGTTGCTGGTTCCTCTCCCTTGGAATGGAGATTCCTCACCATTTATACACATCTAGCTGAAAGGAGGCGTGTCCTCCAGTGGTATATTTCTATTGCTGCCATAAATCAATATGAAGGAAGTAAGGGACTTCGTTAATCTGTGAGAACAATTGGGGTGTGTTTGATTGATTGCCGTATGCAACATCTGGCTATTGCCCAAAGCAGAGACATTAGAGATATAATTTCCAACTTCCTTCTAGGTGAACCTAGAAGGCTCCCAAGGGCTTCCTGAGAATGGACTTGATTTTCCTTTTGGAGAGTTTGAATTGTCCTGTGGAAAGCAGGATGTGGGCTACTGGGCAAATAGGAGGCCAGTGCCATGGGAGAGAGCATCTCTTTGGGACGATTTATCCTGGCAGGGCCTTCTTTAATTGGCTCTGGAGGGCCTTAGCTAGCCACCAAAGAATGAGAATGGCATTACTAACCACAGTAGCAGGCATGAGAGACGATTCCACAAAGACCATGGGCCTCCAAGAGGTGGACCACCTTGTTCTGCATTTCACACTAATCCAAGAGCTGAGAAACACGTGACCGCACACAGAACCACCTCCACCATCTCATGTGGATTTGACGCTTGCCCTTGACGTCACAGTGTACGACACCCTATCCTCTGCCCACCTTGCACACCATCCCTTCCCTCTCTCTGGCTCTCTGTCTGTCTGTCTGTCTCTGGCTTTGTAATACAAATACCATCTCACTCTTTGAGATTGTTTCCAGATGCAGATAATCCTTCACACAATATGGAGATGGTTGTCTGTCATCTCTCTGTATCATGTCATGCTCCATGGTTGGAAAGGGTTGGGGGAGGAACAGATTAGCAGTGTCACTTTCAATGCGTTCCTGGGAGCAGAACCCTGCCTCTTAGCAGAGATAGTGAGCCCAGCTATCCCTCAGCCCTGAGACAGTGAGCCCAGCTATCCCTCAGCCCTGAGACAGTGAGCCCAGCTATCCCTCACACCTGGGCTCCATCGCCATGCACTGTTCACTCATGGTCTTTGTGCTTCATTCTAGAAGGACACTGCAGCAGACCCTGGCTTTGGATCTCACTGAGCATCAAGTAGGGTCCACAGGATTACAGCTGTGTGTAACCCACACGTCTGTAATAAGCTGTGGGGTGAGTGAGGTTCACCACCTTGTATGTCAGATCCACATGTAGATGTATGTCATTCTCAGAGATGGGAAACTGGGGCCTCCTCTGTAGAGTGCGTACCACAAAAGCAAACTGATTCTGTTTCTCTTCCAACAGACTTTTGAGCCAGGCGCCGGCGTGGCAACACTGGACTGAATGCAGTGTCACTCGGCCCCAAAGCCAGGACAGCTCAGCCGGACCACAGAGGTCCCCACTGCCAGCAAGGTAGTGCAGGAGAGGGGGCTTGAGCACTCTGGATAATTTTCCCGGCCTCACCACTGGACGCCCTCCTTTTATAGGAATCAGCATTAACAGCCCGAGGCAGCGAGGACTTGGTAGATGGCCACGAGCAGAGTGGAGAAGCCCCTCTCTTCACAGGCCCAGTCAGGCCAGGCCCTGGCCAGCCTCTGTCTGGAGGTTGTGCTGGATTGCCATCCATCTGGACAAGAGACCACGGGACCCTGGAGATGACCAGAGCCCCTCCCACCTCCCAGAGGGCTCTGATTTTGAGCCCAGGATCATGGAACCTGACAGATGAAGCCCATGGAGCCAGGAAGCCGCTCCGGGAGCATCTGTGGGAAGGGCTGTGCCATCTTGGGGGCGTTTAGTGGCTGGATCCCAATGACCTCTCATTGGATGTCAGGTTGATACTCCCCCCAAGTCTGATTTTGCCCTCCTGTAGCCTGCTATCATTGATGGCCGTGGTTTCCACCGTTGAGTGTCTCTTGTGGTATCTATCATGGCCCTCAGCGGTGTCCTCCAACCACCCCATAAAGTCCTCACTGGATTTCACCCATTAGGTTTGGAAGGCAGCTAAGGGTCATCGTCCCTGGCTGACCATGCACTGTTGCAGTACCCCAGATGGAGCAGGTCCCCACAGGCTGTTGAAGTCGGCAACTGAGAGCAGCTGGCCCTGGCTTCCCAGGGTCTCTGGCTGGGGACACTGAGGCACCGAGGGGAGAGGTGATGTGAGACCTGCCATGATGTGCAGGACGGCAGTCAACTCGGATCTGACTCCTCCTCCCTGAAGGATGGGTGAGCTTAGCGATCGCCAAGATGCAATGCAACCACAGCTTCTCCCAGTAACATGCAGCCCCTAGTGAAATCTGATTGTACCCCTTCCATCGTTCCCAAAATAAGACTGAAGACTGCCACCAGGACTGAAGGGCCCTGCACAACCAGACCCCACGGCCCCTCCCCTTCTTCACACTAGATAGTCCAGCTCTGTCTTTGGAGGACTCTTTCCCCAGATAGCTGCAGGATTGTGTTCCTAGCCCCTTCCGGCTTTTCTCTAACATGTCACCTCCCTCGTGACTCCTTTCCTGACCCTGACTCCAGTGCTCTTTAGCCTCTCTCTCTCTCCCCACCTGGTCCCTGCATTTTACTTCTGGATTCTCTTGCCTGTCTGCCCCCACCCAAAGGCAAAATCTACAAGGCAGGAAGCTCTGCCCGCTTGGTCACTGCCGCACCTCCAGAGCCTGGCACCACGCTTGGGGTGGTGCACAAGGAACCGAGCAGACTGAACTGCCTGTGAGTTTTGAGGAGTAGCAAAGCCTCTGCACAGTGGTTCTAGAGAGTTCTACATTCCCCAAGTGCCAGTCCCAGGCTAAGGATCATCATGCCATTCACCTTCGGTTTGTTCACCCAGATGAGACTGCAGTATAAAGCCAGCGTGGTACCACCTCTGACGTGGTGTGTTTCCAGACTGGACGGCCTAGTCAAGAAGAAATAGCTAAGGAGTGAGAAGCACTTTGGATTGGGATAAGAACTGTGAAGAGAATAAACCAGACAATGAGTAGGGAGGACCGGGGTGAGCAGAGCTAGTTACAGAGAGCAGTGAGACTCGGAGGCTCAGAGACATTAAGTAACTCTGGGCAATCACACAGCTAGACGTGAGCACAGACACAGCTTCCCTGGCAGGGTGAATGCAAAACCTGGTATTTGTTTCCCACTGGCTGCTGATTCATGTTCCGGACCGTCTGTGACTGTGTTTCGATTCAGATGGTGGGCCTTGGGCTTGAGTTCCCTCTACCAAAGGACAGCCTGCTATCTTGCTACTTAGAAAACGTACCCAAGGGGCTGGGAAGGTGGCTCAGTGGTAGAGCGCTTGCCTTGCATGCCTGAGGCCCTGGGTTCGATTCCTCAGCACCACATAAGCAAAAAGAAAAAAGCCAGAAGTGGCGCTATGGCTCAAGTGAGCTGAAGAGCTGAGGGACAGCACACAGGCCCAGAGTTCAGGCCCCACGACCGGACCCAAAAAAAAAAAAGAAAGAAAGAAAAGAAAACATACCCAAATGGAATGGGGAGAGAAGGAAAACTCTCCAGGGCATTGGAACAAGTACAGACTTGCTTGAACAATCCCTGTAAGACATACAGAAGAGTGGAGGGAGAGTATTTTGAATGGCAACACTACAACTTGTGGCCCTGGGTAAGCAAAGCGGGAGGGGCTGAGTCCAGACCCTCTCTGCTGCCAGCGTTGCCCTCCTGCTCCCATCCTCAGGTCCCAGGTCTCCTTCCCAGACAGCCTTCATCCTCCTAACGTGATTTTGCACATGAGGTTGGTGAAGCTCCACTCCCTGCCTCTCCAAGAGGCTACTGTGGCCAAGTGGGCAAGTCCAGGGAGGGGGAAGGAAGCAGTGGTTGGGAGCTGGGGACAGCTGCTTCGTGAAAAGCCTCCTGGAGGATGGCAGCAAACCCATGTCAGCCTTTCAGATGTAAGCACCGCAGGGCAATCAGATCTAGTCACGCTAATTATACTCTCCAGACACTAATTGGTAAACCAGGAAACCAATTCATCACTGACAATAGCAGTATATTTTGGCTCCAGAATTAGTCAGCTTGAGAGACCAAATTATATATCAATAGTTTGTTTGGGAGCAAAGAATGAGAACAAGGAAACTGAATGGTATCCAAAAGCAACTCTTCCCAAGATATGAGCCATGATCTTTCCTTGCGCAGTTTCTGTTCTGTTCTGAACACCTCTAAATACTTGTCCTCATAACTGTCCTTTCCACAAATCCTGGATATTTGGCCCCTAGTAGCCAAGATACACCAGAGAGTTGAATGGACTAGCTCCAAACCAAAGAACACATGAGCTTGGGGCAGAGGTGGGTTTTGCTCTCTGTGCTGAGTTAAGAAACTGGCACGGTTCCTCTCCAAAAGACTTGTACACAGAAGTCCTCTCTGTGCAGACGCAGAGGGCCTCCTTCTCCTCTTCCATCTCCATTAGAGAGACTTGGGTACAGGATGAATAGGAAGCAAAGATGCCAGTCGTGTATATGACAGTCTAGAAGGACAGAACCCAATCCACTGGCCCAGCTCAAGGATACCCCAAACCAGATCTGTCCTCTAGTCTAAAAAATGGCTGCACCATTCTTGATGCTGGGAATGGGCAGGGTGGAGGGAGGCATGTTTGAAAACAACTGAAGAAGGACTGCCTGGAATTGAATGACGTCCAGGGGAACACATATTCATAAGAAGCAGATAGATGACCCAGGATGAATGAGCTGGTGGCTCACGCCTATAATTCTAGCTACACAGGAGGCTAAGATATGAGGATCGCAGTTCAAAGTCAGCCTGTGCAGGAAAGTCCATGAGACTTTACTTCTAATGGGCTACCAGAAAAACCAGAACTGGAGCTGTGGCCCAAAGTGGTAGAGTACCAGCTTTGAGTACAACAGCTCAGGGACGATGCCTAGGCCCTAAATTCATGCCCTAGGACATAAAGGAAATAAAGCAGAAGGGTGTTTTGTATCCTAATGTGATGGGGGGCCTGAATGAGAAAGCAATACTGCTCTCTGACTATTCCAGGAGCTCCAGCTCAGGTGCACCCATTCACTAAAGCCTCGGGACTCGAAGCCTCCCACCCCACCCCCTCAGAACCCGCTGAGAGCTCGTTAGAACCATGGAACCTGAGGCTGAGGTGCGGGCTGACCGTGTGAGTTTCCACAAACTGTCCAGGGGATGGTGAAGTACGCTCGCCCCGGAGGCCATCAGCCTGTGGAACCTGCCTGGGTGCACACTGACATGCCAGCCCCGTGAGCTGCAGTAGGCCCTGAATTCCAGGAATGAGGCCCAGCTGAGGCCACGGGAAGGAGACTGAAGAGCTGACACTGTAGCTGGAGGTGCAAGCTCGGGGCCTCTCTGACAATGTCAGGGAAGCAGAGACAGGAGGACTCGGGGCCTAGAATGGCCCCCAGCCACGGTGTAAGTCGCTGCCACCAACCCACAGGGCCACCACACATGACCAGCCGCCCAGGAGGCAGGCTGGCGGCAGGACAGTGAGTATCTTCCTGCCTTGGCCCCAGCCCTCTTCTGGCCTTCTCTTCTTCCTCCTCCCGATGGTCTCCTATGGCTTCAGTGATGCTCAATCCACCATAGATCCCAAACTTCTCCACCCATCCTTACAGACCACCTCTACCCAGAAAAAACTTCCCCTGCACTTATGGGAGATTTAGCCTGAGGGGAGGGGCGGCGCTAGGGGGCTGGGGGGACTGGGCCACAAGTAAGAGGGGTCCACGCCCACTTGGCTGTGATGTCTGTGGCAGCCACACTCAGCCCCTGCAGGGAGAATCAAGAAAGCAGCACTTGGTGGTCTCAGGTCCTTGGATCTACGTGGTGTAGCAGAAGAGGGCAGCAATGAGTCTGGGTCAGTCACAGGGGATGGGGGAGAAGGGGGTGTGGGGAGAAGGGAGCTGCACAGAGGCATCAGGGACTTGAAATGAGGTATAGGAAGTGTACGTCCCTCACCAGACACACAGTGGGACAGGAAAGGGCGGGGCCTGCGCCATGATGGACATGGGCCCAGCAGGCTGCAGTGGTGTAAGTAGCCCAGGCTGGCATCCGGCCACAGGCCCAAAGCTGAAGACAGAAATGGGCAGAGGGCACAGGCCAGAACACTGAGCTGCTCCTCCGAGCCCCATGCCTTAGGCATACATGTTCGAGTAAATTTCATTTCTGAGACCAACACAAGGCTGCCATTTTTAATTGGGATAAACAAAGAGCTTCCCCTCGCTAGCCTGTCCTGGCCCTCTCCCCTGGGCCTCCCTCTCTAATCCCACTTCTTGTCCCAGGGAGATGACTGCCAGGGCTCCTTGCCTTGGTTAGGAGGAACATGTGGTCCCCGCTCCCAAGGCCATTTCTCATGCCTCTGTCCATTGCTCACTATCCCCCTGTCTCTGACTTCCAGCTGGGCTGGCCTTCCATCTCTTGGGATCTGCTCACCTCTCTTTCTCACCTCTGATGAACACAACCACCAAGCCCAGGAAATCAGAGCCGGAAGTAGTATGAGAATGAATGGGAGAAACACAGAAAAATGGTGCTACGGCTACACTGGGGTTGGAGGATAGGGTTGGGTCCTACACAGGGTATCCGCCAAGCCGTGCCTGTCCAGGCTTGGAGCGCCATCTCCACCATCTCCTGTCCCTCTGAGGACCGAAGCAATGCTCTGGGCTGGCAGCAGGGTGGCCCAAAAGACCCTAGTACCCAAAGGGGAGCCTAAGAAGAGGATGCAATATCTCTCTTGTCCACATTGCTGTACAGTTTACCGCAGTCCCAAAGCAAGCTGTGGGGCTTCTGCAGACCCAGAGGCCAC